TCTCACAAGAAGATTTTTATTATAGGTAATGAATAACCTTTTCCTCAGACAACAGCTAGCCCCTCAAGGTCCTGGAGACCTCACTTCCAGAATTCCTTAGAGACTTACATCATCCATAACCCCCTTTGTCCTCACCCACCGCCGAGTCTACCCCTACTCTGCCTTTAAAAACTCTGACTGTAATCTGGCTCGGGGTCCAAGTCCCTACTCCGCTGTGTTGGGTATACTTGGGCCCAAGCTTAAGCTTGTCAAATAAGCCCTCCTGTGATTGCATCGGTGCTTGGCTCCTTGGTGGTCTCTCAGACGCGAAAACTCGGGTACAACACAAAGAAAATGCAAACACTAATTTGAAAAGATATATAGACCCAATGTGTATTGTAGCTTTATTTACAACAGCCAAGGTAATGGAAGGAACCCAAGCATCCATCAGTAGAAGAATGGATAAAAATGGGGGAGAGAGAGAGAGATGCCATGGGATATGGACGAGATCTTGCCTTTTGCAACAACATGGAAGGAACTAGAAGGTATTAATTATGCTGAGTGAGATAAGCCAGAGACAGACAAATACCACATGATCTCATTCGTACGTGGAATCGAAAAGAAAGTGAATCAACAAAAAGCCGAGTCAGACCTAGAAATGGGGAGAACTAACGGTTGCCAGAGGGAAGGGGAGGGAGATACAGGCTTCTGGCCCCGGAGTGAGTAAGTCACCGGCGTAAGCCGTACAGCAGGGGAGCGGCGTGGGGTCGGTGAGGTGTGGTGCGGCCTTGTGTGGGGGCAGACGGTGCCTGCAGGGAGCGGCGCCCAGTGTGCTGTTGTCTGAGGCGCAGACGTCCATAATCACTACAGCTTTCTAGGAAGATAAAATTGTAAGTCTGTTATAATTTAGCATTATAAAAATGTCCTTTTTCATCCCCAGTAACAATTTTTTTTTTTTTGCCTTAAAGTCTGGTTTTTTGATATTAGTGATGAAGTTCTAGAATATAGATGAGGCTCACTGGGGTGAGGTCCGGAGCTGATGACCAAGAAAGAATTCTTGAGGCATCTTTGGTGCGAAATGATGGTTTATCAAAGCACCGGACAGGACCGGTGGGCAGGAAGAGCTGCTGCCCTGGGGCTGTGAGGGGCGGCAGGTTGTGTCCCGTGGAGTTGGGGGAAGGTGAGGAAAAGGGAGGTTTCAGTAGAACTTTCATAGGCTAAAGAGGACCTACAAGATACAGATGCCAGAGGCCCTGCCATTGCCAAGGTCATTTTGCCCTCTAGCAAGGTATTAAGATGGGTGGGAGATTCCTAAAGAATGTCACTTATGTCCCACCCAACCGTGGGCGTGCGGGGAGGTTGCAAGGGGTCAGTCAACCTTTTGCTGTGTCCTCAGCCGCCTTCTGCTTCCTCCTCATTAGCACAGCCATTCTAGCTCTCTGGGTTCTTGCTTCCACGATAAATCTTTTTCCATCTTTTTCAGTCACTGAATCTAAAGTGAATTTTTTGGGGGAAGATTTTATTTATTTGAGAGAGCAGGAGAGTGAGCACGAGTGAATGCGCACGAGGGGGCGAGAGGCAGAGAGGGGGGGAGCAGGGAGCCGGATGCAGGGCTCGATCCCGGGACTCTGGGATCATGACCTGAGCCGAAGGCAGAGGCTTAACCCAGAGTCACCCAGGCGCCCCTAAAGTAAGTTTCTTATAGATAACATACAATTTTGGGTTTTAAAAAAAAATCCATTTTGCCATTTCTCTTTTAATTGGAGGCATTTAATCCATTTACGTGATACGCTTACCTATAGGCAGGATGTATGCTTGACAGCTCTGCGTTTTGAATGTCTTAGGTCTTTGTTTTTTTATGCCTCTCACTGCCTTCGTGTTAAACAGATACTCTCCAGGACACCGTTTAAGTTCCCTTGCTTCGTGTGATACTGTGATTTATAATAAATACTTGGTCTTTGTCCCTGTTCCTGACACAGAGCTCCTAAAACCCCTGGAACTTCCTAAGTGCTGAGGGCAGAAAAGGCATCTTTTGTTATGTTAATGAAAAACCAGGGGTTTTTGGAAAAACCCCTGCGCCACCTAGCAACCTACGGATGGGGGCTGGCTTCAAGGGGAACCAACCAGGTGATTAGAGGGTTAGGACTTTTAATCCAGCCCCCAGAACCTCTGTGGAGGGGAGGAGAGTTCAATCCCAAAGGCCTAGGACTTAAATCCTTGTGCCTACAAAATAAAGCCTCTGCAGAAACTCAAGAAGCCAGGGTTCAGAGAGCTTTGGGGTTGGTGAACACAAAGTGGAGCTTCAGAGAAGGCGCGGGAAGTCTGGACCCGTTCCCCGTTACCTTGCCCTGTTCTCAAGTTATATCCTTTTACAATTAACCAGTAACCTAGTAAGTAAAACATGCCTCCGAGTCCTGCGAGCTGCTCCAGCAAACGAATCAAACCCAAGGAGAGGATTTGAGAACCACGATTTATACCAAGGCTCAGAAGCCTTAGCCAACGCAGGCTGGCGACTGGCGTCCGAGGGGAGAGAAGGCAGCCTTGTGGGGCTGAGCCCTTAACCCTTAACCGGTGGTGATCTCACCTTGTCTCTGCGTAGACAGCGTCAGGATCTAATTGTGGGAGATGCACTTGGTGTGGGGGGAAAAGCCCACACAGGAATTGGGAAGAGAATCCTATTCTTTTCCCATGTTTTAAAAATTTATTATCTAAGGGGCTGCCCTTGGGATTACAATTACCATCTCAACTTGAAACAATCTACTTTGGATTCCTACTAACTTAATCTCTTCCACAGGCAGTCAGTGGTTCCTCCAACATGCTTACATCCTCGATACCCCACTGCGCTATCCCTGTCCTACAAATTTCATCTTTACACAGGGAGTCCGTCAACATGGCACCGGAATTCTTGCTTTACGGCAGGAGTTGCCAAAATACGGTTATGCGTATTTTATGCATTTTCACAAAACCTGTGTAGGCACTTTTACTGGTGCTCCTTACTTCCCGCGGTTGAGTTCGTGCCCAGGGTCCTCTTCCTCAGAGCCCGAAGGACTCCCAGTGTTCCCGTACGGCAGGTTTGCAGGTGAATTCTCTCAATTTTGTTTACCTGGAAATGTCTTGATTTCTCCTTTATTTTTGAAGGAGGATTTAGACAAAGTATGGTTGGTTGAAAGGCTTCTCTTCCGGCCCTCTGAAGACGCCACCCCACTGTCTTTTGGCCTCTATGGTTCCCGACGAGAAGTCAACAGTTAATTTTATTGATTTGTCTCTTAACATGATTTTCAATTCATTGTGAAGGTCTGGTTAAACGTCAAGATTTTTTTAAAAAATATTTATTTATTTGACAGACAGAGACCACAAGTAGACAGAGAGGCAGGCAGAGAGAGAGAGGGAGGGAAGCAGGCTCCCTGCTGAGCAGAGAGCCCGATGTGGGGCTCGATCCCAGGACCCCGGGATCATGACCTGAGCCGAAAGCAGAGGCTTTAACCCACTGAGCCACCCAAGCACCCTAAATGTCAAAATTCTAAAATTCATTGATTTTAGTCACTTTGCCTATATTTTCTTTGTTTGAGAGGGAAAATGGGTTCGCAAAGGTCCTTACCGTAGTTGAAAAAGAGGTTGAGGATGGTCCAAAGCCCTGCATGTTGTGCCGCCGGCCTCCCGCTCAGCCCGAGCACTTGCTTTTCTAACACTTCATTCTACTTTAGGGTGCTTTCCCATCTTTGTTCACTGGACACTAACCCATCTGGGTTTCAGTGAGAGCTTGCCTCAGTGGCCTGCACCAGTCCAGTCTCATCTGTCTCCTAAGTCTGTCACCGGAACAGGAGACCACACATGAGTGTGGACGTGCGTTCGAGAAGAACGAAGGGTTTCTGGGATGCTTTGCCACCAGCCCCTGCCATGTCGCTCAGATATGAATCCCGAGCCTGGTTTTCCGCTGAGTGAGGAGGCAGGTTTCGTTATCTGGGAATTTCACTTCAGCAGAAAACAGAGGGTTTACAACCACAGCTGACACATAGAGAAGAGGTCAACTCATAGGGTTTCGAACCACAGACTAGAAGCATCTTTAAAATAAACACTCAAGAGGAAATTCTAGTCTTTAGAAAAGATTTTATTAATTAAATTTTTAGGATAGAGAATTTTTTTTAAATAACTATGATATTTTTAAAAACTATTCAGTATTTAATGACGTTTTCAATTAGAAAAACCTTGAACCCTAAGAAGAGATTGTGTACAGCGGAGGCTACAAGAGGGGAAAGAAGGTGGGGACCAGCTCTGTGGGTAAGGATGGGGCTTAAACACTGACTTTTTAAACCAAAAGCAAACCGCACCCGGTCTCAAAGCCTGTCTGGGGACTCACTCCTGCAGGGCACCACAGGGCACGCCCCCCGCGGGAGAAGCTCAGACGCCAACAGGGCCCCCACTCCTTCTGAGGCGATCTGATCTGCACGAGGAGGGAGGCGTCGGGACTTTTACATCCGCTCGATGTCATAAAGGGCTGGGACTAAGCAAAAATTTAATGTAATCTGTGCAGTATTAAAAACAGTCTAGAATTACGGCAATTTGAATGACTCCCGGGAGGCGTTATTCCAGATACAAAGCAGGGCAGGCGGCCCGGGAGGGAGCAGGTCCACTTACCTCGGGGAGGAACAATCCACAAAGGCCCACAGCCCAGGAGGGGAAGAGGAACACGTACTCGTTCCCTACAACAGCCCAGGACCAGCCTTCCGGCTTCTTCAAGTTATAACTCAAAGCCATCAGTCTCACTCTGAGGACGGTGCCCTTGCCCTGCAACGGTCCTCTAGGGAGTCAGGTCAGGAGAGGCCTGAGCTCCGGAAAGCAATGGCGGAGCTGCTGCATCCCCAACCCCAGACGTGACTCACGTCCCCATGAGCCTCACAGCCTCCTCTGCGTGCGACAGATCTCGCATAATGTGTCCTTGGAAAAACCTCGTGGGGGGTGGGAGGGAGAACCCTCTGGGGCCGTCAGCACTCGTCCTTCAGCGCCCCACAGCCAGCGCCCTCTCAGCATCCGGAAATGTCCTTTGACTTGTTCTTTCTCTGATATCTTGTGTCCTTGGGATCAAAGCCTCTTTCGCGGGCACCAAACACGGCCCAGTGCGGCGTTCTGGCCATATAATCCTGTGCGCCGAAGGTGGCCGAGCCCCCGCTGTCTTCGTACTCCCGCACCAGCTCCTGGAAGCGGTCATAATGGATCCACGTCCACCACTCGCCGCCCACCTTAAACTGGAAAAGAAAATTACAGTCGGGTCAGAAGGAAAAACATCCATTAAAAAATAATCACAATAAATATTTTAAAAATTCAAAAATAAGCCTGAATTTCTCTTCTCCCTATCAAGTGAAAGAAAATTCTTTCACACTCAGATACGTTTCCGTATCAGAGCAGAGCATGACAGTCGGGGGCAGTTTCTCTCCCTGCAGGGCTGCCGCTGTGCTGTGCCAGGAAGACCCCAGTGCTGAGGAGAGAACTCGCCCTGGAACCGCACGTCAAGTTCATCCTCAGCAGCGTCACTGAAAGAAGGTTAATTAAATTGTTTTGGCTTTATCATGTGTTAATGGATGAGCTAATTTCTAATTCCTGCTGTTGCCACTTTTTATTTGCCATGAATTTGCTTGGTTGTGTCAGCAGCACCTAGTGGGCCCCGTTTTATTATTAAACTTTGCCGGAGTGATTAGGGAAGCTTTAATCAATGACTTCTAATTCTGAAACGCTGACTAAATGCTCGAACTGGCCCGGTTAACCTAACATGAATACAATACCTCGTTAGTGGAAGGCTCGTTAAGAATTTCAATCCACTAAAGGGAATAATCCAATTTGGACTCTTAAGAAAATTGCTTCTCAAAAGTCATTGTCGAATAACGACCAGGAATGAAGAAAACAGAAAACAAGTCGAGGAAGCTCCGAAGGGCTCACTATTGAACTATGGAGGCTTCGGACTCAAAGCCTCTATTCTGGACCTCAGTGTGTGAATACATAATACCTAGTGCCCGATTTATAACCAGAAAAGTCATTCTGGAAGCTGCTGTCTTCTAAAAACCCTGATTATGAGCCAAGTGAAGTAACAATTTCGTGTTCTAGCTGAGAAAAACACTGAAAATGTAGAGCTTCCTGGATTCGGAATATTAAAATATGCTGAATTTCAATGACATCTGATTCTTTTACCCAACAGCTAAGAGGTTTCTAGTGGGGAAAAAAGCACCAAATAAATGGCAAAGTTTAGTCCGTCTACGAATCATGAGACATTACCTTCTGATAAGACCCTTCTCTGAGACGTGCCCCAGGGGCCTCCATGAGCTCCACACCCTGTGATAACAACGTCCCCCCCCACCACCCGGCTCTCCCTCCGGGGACAGGCCGCTGTCATCTCCTCCGCTGCCTCGAACGCAACCAGTCAGCCGTGGCCCGGAGCCTCCGAGCTCCAGAGGTAAAGGAGCCGCACCCCGCCCGGACCCCTCACCCCTGAACACCGTCCGGTCCCACGACGCCTCGTGAGCAGCGTCTCTGTGGTCCTGACACAGGCCTGTAGCTCGGGCCCTCGTTCCCGGGACCCCGCGACAGCGCCCTGCGGATTGGTCTCCTGATGCCCCGTCTGGCCGCCCCCACCCCTGCAGACCGAGACTCTGAGCTCACGGCACCTACGCGGGACGAGCCCCACGACTGGGAGCCCCACGACTGGGAGCCCCACGACTGGGAGCCCCACGACTGGGAGCCTCCCGCGTAAACACCAAACCCCCGTCCGAGGCTCTCCACGAGCCGACCGCCCTCCCACGGGGCTCCTGTCCTACTCCCTCCGTCTGACGAACACCTCCTCGTGCCTCACGGCCCCTCACACGCCCTCTGCTCTGGGAAGTCTCCCCGAGCCCCTCAGACGGCGACGGTTCACCCGCCGCACGACCTCACTCCCCGGACCGTGGCCACCGACGTACCAGAATGGCTTCTGCAGTGACCTCCCCCGCCCCCGACCCGACACTACTACTGTCGCCTCTGTGCCTGTAGCTGACTCGTCATCTACGAATTCATGCTGGCACTGCGGGGACACAAGGGCCCAGGCCCGTCCCCCTGACGTCCAACAAATCCGGAGGGCCACACGGTGGAGAAAACTTCCACCTACACTACTGACACCCGGGGATGCGGTGCTGCTGCTGTTCGCGCCGTGGCACAGAGAGCGTGGTTTTCGCAGTGTCGTCACAAGAGGAGGCACCACGCTCACACCTTACTGCAACCGGGTGACGCTCCGGCTAGCGCAGGAGTAGACGCTGTCATTCCCGGGTGCGACGTTCTCTTCCTGCCGCCTGAGACAGTTACGGAGTGTCAACGATGGCCTTGGCCCAGTCACAGACATTTAAAAAATAATTATAATCTAATGCGGTGTGTTCAGCGAGTCAGGTTATGCGAGTGCAGAGGAAGATGGGGTAAGTCACTCCCATGCCCCCAGGAGCTCGGCCCCACTACGGGCCCTCTGCCTTGCTTGCTGGGTGAGACAGATAACGGAATTCTCGTCCCATGCCTCTCCCTGCGGACTTTAGATCTCTAGGTCTCTTCTGGATTCCAAAGGCTGATGCTGCGGGGTCCGTCGTCCTGGTCTTCCTTTTCCCTCAAATTCCAACAAGCACCACGTGCCATGGCTATCCCAACAGGGACTAGAAGACTAGCTTAAACTACAGCAGCAGACGTAATCTTTTCTCACCACAACTTAAAACAAGAAATACATTTTGTATCTCAGTCTAGTACACACACACACACACACACACGATCTGGAAACACAACTTTCACAAACCAATGGCAATGATTTCTTTAAAAAAAAAAAAAAGAAAGAAAGAAAGTCACTTGCGGTAGGCGGCTAGGTTCCCTGACCCCTGATGCGGTGACGATCTGGTCCCCTCTGCCGGTGGGATTCTACGCTGGCTTAAAACGGAGGACGCCAGCTGTGCAGACACAACAACCGCAAGCTAACGTTCTGACCACGGATTGCTAACCTCTAAGAAAAGCGGGTGTATTAGCTGTTCGGTATCTACCGTAACCGGATACCACAGCCTGGGCGGCTGACACGACAGATATTAGTTTTCCAACAGTCCAGAGGCTGGAAGTTGAAGACGAAACTCCCGGAAGAAGCTGTGGCTTCACCGGTTCCCTTCCTAGTGTGTGTGCGGGGGTGTCTCCTCTTAGGAGGATACGACCCCACCAGACCAGGGCCCCACCTTTATGACCTTCATTTAACCTTAATTATCTCCCGAGAGCCCTCGTCTTAAATACACACCCCCTGGGGGGGTTAGGCCTTCAGCATGTGAGTTCTGAACGGACCCAAATACTCAGTCTAGAACAGTGGGTGACTCTCAACTTAACACCAAGCCACCAGACTCCTACGACAAAATGAATCTATTTATGCCCCTTCCGAAGACAATCAGAATAATTCTAAATAATAACTCAGAAAAAGTCAAACTGTTTCTGGAAAAAGGCGGGAGCTGAAAGAGCGAGCGCTGACGTGCCGGTAGAGAGACGTGCTGAAAGACAGAGATGCACAAACCAGAGTAAAACCCCAAATCACAAAATCCGAGGTTCAGTATGCCGAGACGGGACGTCACTTGCTTTAGGAACTCCTCAAACCCAGCAGTAAGGGAAAAGGCAACTCTATGCAGAATTACAGACACACTCAGAAGCTCAAAAACACACACAGCACAATGAGGTTGGATAAAGCTGGCCCTGGCTGAAAGAGCCGGGCTCCGCGGCCTGGCCGGTGCTACGGGTCCCACCGTCCACAACAAACGGCAGCTACTGGGGGTCTTATCTCATTATTTTTTCTTTCACAGAGGGAAAATGTCACTGAACAGAATAATGGCAAATAGATTCTTTATTACTTCAGTATCTAAAAAGAGTCCATCCAAGATGACAGAAAAACACATGCCTATACTTCACTTCTTGAAATCCCACAAGAGTGACACCGAAGGTGTTATCTGCAAGATACATAAACCTGTAAACGCAAAGAGATCAGGAGAGGAAAAAACAGTATCAAAGTTTTAGAAGCTACAAGAATGACGGACAGGTGGTAACTGGCTTAGCAGACCCTAGGGCACTGCATCTTAAACCAGCAAACAAAAAAATCCTGGATTCCACCTGACTTATGCCTCAGAATTCCCCACAGGCCTGGGAGCTGGTGGCACAGTCACCTCGGGAAGTAGGGGTAGAAGAAGAGCCAACTTCAACCCACACCCTCAAAAAAGCCCCAAAGACAGGTCTATATTCTATGTAAGAAACTGTTAGAATCCCAAGTTCCCTCCATACCGCTGAGCAGCTGCCCAACCATCCTCCCCAGCAGAAGGCAGGAGGCTTACTCTCATAAGACAGTAAGAGGGAAAACCCATGGACTATGGGGTAGCAGGAAGAACTGAGAACAGGGCTATCATATCAGAAACGAGAGCTCAGAACAGCCCTGTTCCCTGCCCGCTTCCCCACCCCCGATAGTCATGCAGCCTGGGGAAAAAAGGTGACCCTTCTGGCCAGCCCAAGAGGACTGACTGAAAAGTACTATTTCGGTTTTCCCAAGGCAATGACTCAGCTAGATTTCTCTAAGATAATGTCAAGCCCAGTCCATACGCTTAGGACTTTCAATATGTTTTTCAGTTTCCCACTTAAATATGAACAGAGAACTAACAAGAGAACTAAAAGTAAGCCAAAGGGAAAAAGTAACAGAGGAAAGAGAGCATAGGCAAGGAGAAAACAGCAGACTAAACAAGATAAAAACCCAAACAACTGAACTAAAACAGTTGTCCTCAGAAAAATGAGACAATACTGTATCCACAAAAACGTTACTGTACAAAAGAGCACTCAAGGAATGAAAAGAATCTTAAGACTTTAAAACTATAGGAGCAAAGATGAAAGGTTCACAGTAAAGAATTTCCTAGAATGTAGAGTAAAAAGAAAACGAGAGAAGTTACTGAAAAAATAAATAATAAAGGACTTGCCCAAGAGACCTAACTTTAAAATAATACCAGTTTTTGAAAGAAAGGAGAAAAAACAACAAGGAGGAAATCCTCAGTGAAACAATCCTGGAAACACATTTTATGAAGTGAAGGCCCTGAGTTTCCAGAGTAAAGGGGTAGAAGAAGGATAAGAACAGTCACACTGCCTGAGGCACATCTCATTGAAATTTCAAAACAAGGGAGACAAAATGAGATCCCAGCAAGGGAAATATGGTCACACGCAAAGGATTCAGGATCAGAATGCCTGT